CGGAGGAAAGATCGGTGGAGGATAAATTTCAAAACGATGAAAATGATAAAATGTCGAAATGCAAGATATCGTTATCTATATTTAATCAGTTATATGTCATTACAAGAACCAAAAAAATGTCGAAAAACGATATATCTCTTCCGTTATTTCGTCAGTCTCGGCGGAGATCAAAAATAGTTTGTCTTTGAAAAATCTCATGATATTTCGGCACACATATTTTTCTTTTATTTTTATCTTATTTTTTTTAAACGAGCAGGTATTTTTATCATGTATACGACGAGGCGGAATTGAATATCTAATAACTCTCAAACTTCAAGGCTTCAGCTTTTAAGAAGTCTGGCATAATAATATTGCTGAAAGATGCTCGTCAATTTTCTGAAGTTACACGCGCGCTATCCTAGACTGCTTTTTCCAATAGCCTTGGGAGTTTTTTCTGTTTTTTTTTAATTAGCGAAAATATAGGCGTAAATATCTCGCGTAAAATAGGAACGCATCATCTGAAAATTATGCTTCTCGTGAGTTCTGTTGAAAAAAGTTATTAATTAATGTTTCGATGAGTCCGTCACTTAGAGGAATTAAAAATATTGATTAACAAGAAATGTTCGGTGCAACACACGTACATACAAGAACAACATCGCAACACGTGCGAGATAGGCGAAGGGATCTCCACATTCCTTCGCCAGTCTCCACCATTGTTTTCTAATCAGCGAACAGGATTCCGCATATTTCTCGATGACTAACTTATTCGTAGTCATGACGCGCAAATAACAGCTGACCGAATCGCTCGAGAATCGAGGTATTGCACGCGTGATAGCGATAATGACATCCGCTGGCTCATCGATCGCTCATTACCGAAAATTTTTAGCGGCACGTAGCAGCGCTAACTATTTGCATAAACTATTTGCATAACTTAAGCAAAGTTTTAATATTCAAACTGGCTTATTTGATATTCAGAAATGGAATCAAGCGAAGGTAGATACATGTATTAACACTAATGCCTAAAATCAAATATAGAACGGTGGTACCTATTATTTATCAATTTTTGGCACATACGCACGCAATTCGAAACAAAGAAAGTTGACAAAGGGATGAGTCATCTGGAGTCAAATCTTAAACGTGTTCGCACACCCACGTCGATCGTCGCGATCGAGGATCTATATTAAGAAGAATATTCAGAGCCTGTGGCGCGCCGGAAATCGTCTGGACACGCGAAGGCATAATTAATATTATAAATATTATAATTACAGAAACCATCTTGCTATAAATCTAGTAATCACTAACTCATTAATCTTTTTAGTCGTAGTTGAATTTGAAATTAAGCTGTTTAAACTCGTTCTAAAAGCGTTGTCCCTTAATTAACTTTATTTATTTAATCAGCTGATAATTGCCTGTTATTAGCTGATCAAGAACACGTTAACGAGGCAAACGCGTTAAAATCTCGTAAGGAAGAAGCAAATATCTCATAAATTTAAGACATTTTTGGGATCGCGATGCGCAATCAAGCCGCAGACTCGTAAATTGCGCAGAAATGAATTCACAAATACACGTTCAATCGCAAAAAAGAAGAGGTTAATTGCGTGGTTGTTTACCAAGAGCATACTACATTTCCGAATAAATTTCGATAATACAGGCCGCTAATCAATGAACCGTCGACGGCGCAACTGAAGTCAATCGCGTGTCGCATGATGAAATATCCGCGCGAGTGACAGCAAGTGTATCGAAAGATCGCGAAATATTTAAAAAATCTTATTAGATATGCTGGTCCCGTGCGCGCGCGGTAAAGGATACCGCGGTGTCGTCATCCCTCCCGAACAAAAAAAAAACAGAACCAGTTCTGTGGATTGTTGCCCGACGATAATTTCGGCCGTGTCTCGAACGCCAGACGATATCGTGCTGAGGCAGGTAATCGTTATATTTATACGTGGATTCCTGCGGAGGAGAATTGTAAGGCATTTCACGGCTTTACTTGGAGAAGACAATGGGAATTCGGTTCTCTTAACTACTTGACTTTTGTCGTAGATCAGTATCGTCAAATCGAACGGATTAAGTATTATGACGCCTTATCAGTCGATCAATCCATTTAGCCTTTGTCACGAAAATCATAATTGACGATCGATACACGATTCTCGCGATAAAAGATTGTAACGCGTGCATGAATTTTTACTTGGAAAAAAACTAAATATAAAACGATTTAGAGTGATTGCACGCGTAACGTAGTAGTATCTATTTCTCATCTCTCTTCTTCAGCGAATTGCAAAATGGTAAATAAACTTCCCACTCGTCTGCCGATCGGCGATATAATAGAGGACGAAAGTAAAAAAATGTCGCGAGATAAATTTTCCTCCGCGTGAATCTGGATAGAAGCGGAAATATCTCGATTGAACGCCATGTACTTCAAACTACTCCGCCCGCGTCTTCGAACTACTCGTGCACTTTTATTAATCGTACCGTGTTTGCAAACATTTTCGCGATAATGTCGAAGGGTGTCGGGGCGCTGTCGAAACGCGACAGCGGCGGCGGTCGCGGCGATAACGCAGGCGCGAATCACGCACGGACTTTCCGGATCCCTCTCGCAAGACATCAGCCGTCGCGTTGCGACAAGCCACGCGGCGCGTGTAATTTACGGGGGCACACATATGTCGATCGCCGCGATCCTCCTTCTTTTATCGCCCGGCTTTTATCGCGCCTGCTCTCCGCGCTCTCGCCGCGTCTCGCGCGCGTCCAGCTCCAGCTGATCATCGCCCGTACCAGCGTCCACGTAAGCGGAATGGTGCGCGGGATAAGAGAGAGAAAAAAAAGAGGTGGCCCCGGATTGACCAATATCCGGCGACGGCAGGAACGCGGCGGGATAACGAACGTTTGGAAACGAAGGCCTGGCCTGACTCAAACGTGATCCAAGCGCCATGCAATCGTGGCCTTATCTGTCTCCTTTTTTGTTTCCTCTCTCTCTTTCGTATCGCGAACGTGAACGCGGCCGTACACATGTCCGCGATACCCGGAGAGTCTTTTTTTGCGTCCGTGTGCGCTTCGAAGTGTGTGTACGGTACATATGGAATATATCGACGATTAAGAGCGAGCGAGCGCGTACACACGTCCACATAGTCAGCGGTGTCAGCACACATACGTGTGTATTAATGCCAATTCGGGAAACGAATTCGAATATCATAGAGTTCTTCAAATTTAAATTAATTTTTTTAAATTAATTAAATTTAAATTTAAACCATGTTGTAATATGGTTGGAGTATATTTTATAAAAAGAGTTTTACGGCCCTCCGGCACACGTCATTCGCACATAACCAACATAAAAATCTATTTTGCAATCTGTTGTTTCATTCTTTTCATTTATTATTCGCTTCGCAGATTATCTTTGCTATTTTTGCACGATAAATAGAACCTGACGGCATAGCAATACATTTGATAATTTAAATTCCGAACACGTGAACACATGCATGCGTGCCGCTTCCTCGCTAAAAATCTGTGCGAATATATACGTCATATGATACTAGGAGAAACTAAATAATTCAAGTTACATTACAAAAATAAGTATGTAGAATTACAAGTTCAAAAATCAACATGTCGTAAAAAAGTGTCTGGCATCTCCGTTGTTGTAAATCATGCGATTTTTGTAACACTTGTCCGTACGATTTTACATACTTTTTTCTACAGTGTGGGAGACCCGTCACGGTCATACGTGGGTGAAATTGCATGCCCTTATACGCGCAATTGTTTAAAGCGTGCCACCCGCGCGCAACGAGAAACGTTAAGGTAGGTCAAGGGCGCGTTGCACCGCGTCGGACGAGTCTCTCGTGAAAGATCTCGCCCGTTTGGAGGATGCACGCGTGAATTTTTAACGCTATCCTCATCAAAAAATTCTGGCAGATAGACAGATGTTCAGAATAAATCGGATCTATCCGAATGCTCGTCAATTACATAATTTGCGTTTTCGTTAAAATAGACAAAGTTGAAAAAATGTAAATTATATATGTGTATAAAGTTGCGACAAAATCCCTCGCGTAAATGACAATCTATAAGCGTTTTAAATGACGATTTTATACGAGACGACAATCGTTAATGTCGTAGAGTTATTTGCATCACGCGTTACGAAACGCTGTGTGCGGTATGTTACAGAAATTATTACGTCATCCTACACATTAAATCCTAAAATGAGAAAAACACGACAATTCGGGGATTTGCCAACAATTATTTTAGAAGATATAACTTTACCGGTACGTAACAGCGAATTCGGTCGCTTGCGCTATTCTCTCGGCACTGATATAAAGGTGTTTCCTAAGTGATGTCGAAAACTTCAGGAAGTGATTTCTTTTTAAACAGAATTTTAAAGAGAAAAGTTCCTGAAAATGCTTCCGGAAATGCTTCCCTGTAGATTTATTGGCCTTCAAACTTTTATTTAATTATTTTTCTTTAACTTTTCGACATCACTTAGAAAACACCCTGTATAAAGACTATCATGAAGATATTTAATTATAATAATACAATGATAAAAAAATATAATAATTTTTGTATAATAATTTAATGATAATAATACAGGCAATAATTATAAAAATACATTCTATTCGGTAAAATACTCTCAGTGTTAATATATTATCGTATTTTTTAGCGAAACATACTTCATCAAAGTTCGGCTCATATTACGCTTTTAATTTATCTTCGCGCGTAGCAGTTTTTCGAACGTGTCGGTGAGCAGAAAACCTGCCTGCGCGGAGTGCAAGCAACCGAATTCGCTACAAGTTCGCGTTATAAGTATACGTTCGGGTGCTCCGGACATTTGATAAGCTCCGATATGAATACGACCGCGTGTCGCGAGTTGAAGAGTCCACGTATACACATGTCGGAGAGGCTGCAAGGGGAAAGGGAGCGGTCAGGAGCGTCTCTCGCGACCGGATGCCACCGATCACCCGATTCATTTTTCGCGCAGGTTGGCACGTTCACCTTCTCCGGAAAGAGATACGGATTAAGATACACAAGCTTATCTCTCTTACCTCGATGTTATTGGGTGTCCATCCGTCGCTTCCGTCGCGAATTGCCGACTTTCTCGATTTCGGCCGGCCGTTCTCCGTGAGCCCGCGATCACCCGCGTGCACAATCGTAACACGTGCGTTACGGTGGCGGCACGTGATGCAACACCGTTCCTGTTACCGGCGATTCAAGACGCGCTCTTCTCCATCTCGTCACATCATTGACCTCTGAAAAGATGTGACGAACTCGGGATGAGGAACATTGTTACATATAGATAAACGGAACATTCCAATGTGTGCTATTTCTAGTACCTCTCGATAATTTGTAAGCATTTGTAAATTAATCGCGAACGTTAGACCGCAAGTGTTATTATTAGCGCTTCAATTGTCCGACGACTTTTCAAAATAAAATCAATAGCACGTGTATAAATGCCTGCAACTGCCTCAACTTTAAACCAAGAGGAAAAAAACGGAAAGTCTCGTTCAATGGCGAGATCTTGCATCACAATGTATCATACGCACCATGCTTGCGTCCGGATATCAATATCATCCGCACGACCAATCGAATCGAAGAAAGAACCGCGATGTCCACGATATCTCACGCGGTATCACTCCGGATTATACCGGGTGAGGTTAAATCGTTAAATCAGACCGTTACAGAAAAAAGAACGGGTTCCGCGCGCGGCCTCGCCGGAACTGGCGGGACGACCGATGTTGGCCGAACGCGCGCGTTCGCGTCCCTTCGGCGCCCGCCGCCAATCGCCGCCGCGGCCGAAGATCGCCGAAGCGTCGTGCGCCCGGACACGGTTACAATATTCGCGTTCGCTCGTTCGGCAGCCCGCAGTTGTCAGCTGCACAATGGCAACGTTGGTCTGTGCTCGCTCGTCCTGCTGCCGCCGTCGTTTCTGAGCGGTGGGCCGGCCCAAACGTTGGACCGTCCGTTGCGCGGATACCACGAGTCTCTCTCTCTCTCTCTCCTCGCGCACGCTCTCTCTTTGTCTCTCTTTGTCTCTCTCTCTCTCTCTCTTACGTCCCCGAGAGCTCGTCGTCGAGACGTCTCACCGGCCGCGTTTCGGAAACGAAAGCAGCGAACCGACGAAAGTAGCCGACGAGAAGTGAGCTAAGAAGAAAAGGAAGAAGAAGAAGAAGAAGAAGAAGACTTCGAGGCCGATCGCAGCAATCGCCCTCGATCGCGGTGCCGCCTGCGGACGTCCAATCGTCCCTACCCCACCGATTCAGGAACGACGCACGGCGACAGCTATACAGAAGGAAAAGAAACCCACGAAGGTAAAGTTCTATCTCGACACGGGGAAAGAGAAAAAAAATAACCGAAACTCCCGGCGAGGCGGGGGAAGATCGGTCGTCGCCGCGCCGAGCGCGTGTGTGACCTACCCCTGACTCGCAGGAAACGCGCTATCGACCGTGGATGCCTTTCGCGGGGTGGAAGGTGGAAGTAGCGCGTGGCACCCCCTTTTCCCCCCCCCCCTCCACTGAGTGTACGCTTGTGTACACCGTCGTGTGCGCGTGTCGCGCGGCTCCAGTGCAAAGTGCAGTGCCTCTTGTCTCTTCCCGTCGACGCTACTATCGCGACCGCGTCGCCGCGCGCTGTGGGGCGACCGATCTGACCCGCGGCGCCGCGGACTACCGCACTACGGACGACTGCACTCTCCGACGCGCGCTATTCGCTCGTCGTCGCGCTACTTTCGCGCGTCCGAGAGCCAATTTATATCAAATGACGGAACGAACCTTTCAGCGCTCGAGAAAGTAATCGTTAGTCGGAGTAATTAAAACGGAGTAACTGCGCGAGGCGCAGTTTGTATTGTTTATCGTTAAACAACTCGTTGTCACCGATGTCACGAAGAAAGGGCGCGTTATTAATTAAAATTGGGATAATTATATGTTGCGAATTTTTGCGTCCCGGAATGTATAGCTATAGATAGATCGTCGGTCACGAGCCGGTTCTCACACGCTCTCGTTGAATTTCATAATAGTTCCACGAATCTGGATCGTACGCGCTTCCTGATAAGGCCGGAAGTCGAGCGGTGACGTCGTTAGAGAAACATTGCAGAAATTCGTATCGAGGAATTCGAACGTATTCTTAAGTAACGTTTATTTGAAATCGCTGCTAATTGCGAAACGAGCTGTATCTCGAAACTCTTCCACCACATTTCTCGTTTTTTACAGTCAAACGGCGGAGCCGAAGGTTTTCCGAAGGTTCCGAAGGCGCGTCTGAAAATATTTTTAATAGACTTTCGCATTTATCGCACCCGGCTTTTTCCTCCTCGTTTATTTCCACCGAGGCCAGCCGCGCGCTCGGTCTCGCGCACTGAATGAGCGTATTTACGTTGAATGAACGATCTGACGCGGGCACTAAAACCGGCGAGAGAGAGAGAGAAATCACAGCGAGCGTTTACATTTCGCGTAAGCCACCGGCGGATACGCAAACAATCTTGTTTGTTCCGGACAAAGGGAGCGGAGCGCGGCAGCCGACGCTAAAGATCCATCTTTCTTAATCTTTGACACCTAACCGGAAGTCGAGCAGCTCCGCTCCGAGATACAGCGGCTTCTCTCCGACCCTAGGAATCCTACGATTCGCGAGACGGACTGCGGGAGGATGCTGCGCCATGGGGCGGAAGGGTGGAAAAGAGAGGGGGGGAGGGAGATCGGCCCGAAATCGACGCGCGGTCGCTTTTACAATGTAAACCGGGAGCGCGCGGCGAAGCTGTTGGGCAATTTACATATTTCGCGAGCTTGCGTCACGTACGGTTGCGCGCTATTAATGCAAACGGTGCCCGCAATATCGCGCCCTCGCCGCGCGCGAGCGCGCGACAATCGTGCAATTCTCCGCCATTTTGACCTTACCGAAGGATATCTCTGTAGCGCGTAACGCTACATATGTGTACGTGAGGCGCGCGTGCACGGCCGTTGTGTGGGTCGGCTGGTATATCGCGCGTATATCGTTTCGACACGCGGCGGCGACGGCGATGGCGATGGCGATGGCGACGGCGGCGGCGAACGCAACACTTTACTAATTCCGAGCTCGCGATTTCGTCAGATACGAGCGTTTTATTCGGGAGAACGCGCGCGGGGGAAGGGACGGAGGGGTGGGGAAGACCTCGACAATGCCCCGAGGAGTTCGCGCACCTGCCGGGCTAAATCGTCTCACGAGATCCGTCTCCCGACTCAGCTGGCTTCGATTCTCTCGCGACACGGTTTTATCGAATATTCTTTTATTTTTTTTTCCTTTAAATTCTGTCACAAGACAACAGTTCACCTCTTAGGCCTATTATTCGTTTTTGCTGCACTTCTGAACCAGTGCAGTAAGTTGAAATGAAAGAAAATATATTTGTTTCATTCTAACTTATTGCACTAGTTCAGAAGTGCAGCGAAAACGAACAGGCCTCTTGTTTCGTATGAAAAAATTATGATACAAATAATAAAAATATGTCTTCTGCCGGTTGGACTGGCTCTTCGCGTCTAATAATATTTTTGCGGATACATTTTTTTTTTCAGGAAATCCGAGTAATGTCTGTCTTGAAGCACAATATCTCAAGCTAAAGCCGAGATAGTAGACGCGTAATTAAATTGATAATCAATTTAACCCTCAAAGGACTCCGTCGGGTCGTTTTCGTCCACCCGAAAAATACGATCCTGAATATCTTTTTTTTATATTTTTTTGACCCTGAAACTCATTTTTTATATTTATTATGAATTTTTGAAAAAATCTCTTTTTCAATTTCTTTATGCTAATAACTAAAAAAAAACTGTTAAAGAAAAAAAATTTTTAGAAACCAACATCACAGCTTAAAAGAGGAAAGTTCAAAGAATATCCATGAATTTTGCGGAATTTTTTGAATGATATTTAATATTATTTATAAGTCGAAAGGCAAAAAGGACCCGACGGAGTACTTTTAAGGTGCCAAATTAGCACGGAGTCTTTTGAGGGTTAATAATCATGATGCTAAATAAGCATTTCTTAGAAACGAACTGTAAAGAATTTACTGCGGAAAATATATCACATATGAAAAAATTATATTTTTCCTGTGGTTGTCGTTCTCTCTCTCTCTCTCTCTCTTGCAAGGATAAGGGAGTATCCTTATAGGGCTTCCGATGTAACAGGGCGGAATAAGAAATACCACGCCGTACTTATTTCATATACGAAAGAAACGTATGTACGGTGAGGGAAAAAAAGCCGTAGAAAGGTCAGCGCCGTTACTTCTATTCATGCATAACGAATTCGAATTTGTATCTTAATACACAATAAGGATTACATCATTTCCTTCAAGGTGGATGATGTAATTTTCACCGTGTGTATCAGTCTTTATCGTTTGTTACCGATCGTCTCGAGATTTTTTATAGCTTTCACTCTCCCTCACTGTTAAATATTAAAGTATAAAATTTAAACCATTACCTTAAATAACAGTTTGTTACTTTTAACTACCATGCGTATGTCGAAATTTATTATTTTAACACAAAACACAGTATTATTTTAACTTCATTGATTTAGTTAAATTGACGACATATTGGAATAAGAGCAGTGGCGATCTATGAAACGTCGTCTACAATGGCAGCGGGAGTATGCGGTAAGACGTAAGCGTAAGCTATTGACGAACCACAGTCGATTATTCTTGAATTGTAAAAATCCCATTAGTCAATAACTTACTGCTTACGTCTCACTGTTATACTCCTGCTGCCATTGTGGACGACGCTTGAACAATTAAAAATGACTCAAATTGAGTATAATTTAACACTACGAATTTAACAGTGTTTGATAGATGCAAGGTCGCTACCTGCCTATTCCGGATCTGGCGCGCGTGGATTTCAAATGCATTCTTTCGTCCATCCCGGCGCCTATCTCGGGTTTGAAACTGAAACCCCAATTTAGTAGATACCATTGTTACATAATTAACAGCCCCTCCGTCATTTCGCCTCCACTAAAAGGGGCGCGATACAAAAGATTATCGTCTAGCTTCTTTGAAATACTCGGCCGATAGTCGGATTCAGGGAAACATCGCGGCCCAGGTCGGAGTTGCCAGACGTCGCTGCCGTTAGGTCATCGCGCGATATCTTGGAAGGAGGGGAGGGGGGGAGAAGAGTGCCCCTTTAATCGTAGTCCGGGCACGTTCACCTGTCGATACGGCGCTGACCTCGCGAAATATCGCGGCATCCACGTGATCGAAGATAGCGGCCGCTTTCCGCCTCGAGCGAGAGTCCTCGGCGGGATGATAAAACCGACGTTACCTCGTCATCTCGTTTCGTATCGCTCGCGACGAAGAGGACGACGACAAGAGATGGGGGAACGGGGGACGGGGGGTGGGAGGGAGAGAAGGAAGAGAGGAGGAGGAGGCAAGGAGATCGCGAGTTGCTGCACGAACAGCCCTGATCTTTGGAGCGAGGAGAGCCGTCGTTGCGTCGGCGTTGTCGACTTTTGCGCAAGTGCGTAGATATCGTAATGGAGGAGGCCGCGAAGAGTATCGCCAGTCAGCATCTGCCGCGCGAGTGATATATGATTTTCAAACGATACGATATGAAACGCGGCACGTAAACAGGCATTGAGCAATATCTCCAGCGAAATTGTCTGCGACAGCTATTCTCGCCCGATCGCAAAGGTTGATCGTTAAATAAAAAAAAATAAAAAAGAAAAAATTCTATGGCAACCGATATCGGCTAAGAATAGCGTGTGAATCTTGGGTATTGTAATGCCGGACATCCGTCTCTCTCTTAAACCGTAAAAACACGGATTTTTCTCCACGCGAGAAATGCTGTAATGTATAAATTGTCGCTCGATGAATGCCCCAATTTTGAATTACTTACGCTTCACGTGGATGATTCGCTAAAACGCTCGAAATTTACTTCGCTTCTTGCATCTCGATATCTTCCATCGATCTTTATCTTGCACAATCGAGATCGGTGTAATATTTTGTGGAAAAATCTTATTGATAATCTGCTCCAGAAACGCTGATCTTCGCGTTCGACCTTGTCGCTCGTTATTGTCGAGACGTTAATTGCTGCCACTAATTCGCTCTAATTCTTCACAAGTGAACAAGAACAATGACCGCTTAGTAATCCTAGTTTCTTCTTTAAATTAACTAATGCAATCAAGCGGAAATACGTATCTCCTACGTATTTCCAGAAAATAAAAATCTAATCACACTCGGGCAAAGTTTACAGTTATTTATATTAATTGAAGAATCGATAAGAGAGTGGACAGATATTTCGAAATCTATCATGAAATGGAGTGCGATTTCGTCATTTCTGACGTCGTTGATGCGGCTAACGAGATTGGGGAACCTGTAATTTGACGCGCCGAATTCGGCTTTTTTTTGTTGAACCGAAAGACGATTCCGCTGCGCGACAAAATCGCATGAAAAGTAATCGTCCGCGACACGCCGGTTGTGCACGCTTTGAGGCGCTTCCTCAAGGACAACCGCGCGATATTTGCATATCTTGAATCGGCGATTCCGAACGGTTATGCGGATGGGAATGTATAATTCGAAGAGGGGCACTAATCGAGGGGCCACGTCGACCCAGCCGTGCAGCGATTGGAAGCAAATGTCGCTCTGACGACCGGACTTTCCTGCGGTCATAATCGAATCTGCTCCTGGAAACTCGCGATTTTCTTCATGGCGAGCGCCGGGTAAATATTTACCCTCGCTCACGCAACCTTCGTTTTTTTCAATCGTTTGTAGATATAACTCGACAATCCCGAGTGCCCCGACAAACGAACAAGGGGAGAATGCCTTCGAAGTTCGAATATAAAGTCTGACTTATGTCCATTTTTATCAATGCAGGTTAATTTTAATCTCCGTTTAACTTACCTGTCATCTTTTCCTAGCCCTTCGTCCGCATAGGTGGGTCGTTTTCGTCCGGGCGAAAATCAAATGTAGTTGTAACTTTTGCAAACGCGTAGAAATGGCGCCACTGCGCATCCGTAAAAAAAGTTATGCTCCCCGAGAACCCGCCTACCGAGTTTCAAGGCGCCAGACCTCCTCCAGCCGTCACAGGAGACACGTAATTCTTGAAAAAACGAGGTTGGCGGCGAACACTTAAGCACTTCATTTCAAAATAATTGCATGCAATATTTTTTTTATGAAAGGTACGTTTTTCCCCTTCAATTTCTTTTTTTATTTATTTCGATATCTTTATTTGTCTTAAAGTTATGATTTTTTGAGTAAAAGATGATTTTACAAGTTGTAGTTGTAGTTGCTCCATTTCTTAAATAAAAAATATGTGAAAAAATTAAATTGCTTATAATTTTATGATTGATACTTCAAATTGAAGGTTTCAATTACCTCCATGAATTTTTTCAGATTTTTTGTAACACTTTAACACTTAAAAAAAAACGTCAAGACGAAAACGACCCACCTATGCGGCGTAAAAGTGCCAAAAAAACGTATGCGGACGAAGGGCTAGTTCTAAGAGTTAGAAAAAGATAGAAAGCAAGTTAAACCGAGATAAAAGTTAATCTACATTGGTAAAAATGGATATTAATGTTTTTACTTGCCGTAGTTGCCGTGTGAAACGAGATTCCGATATCGGAATGCAAACTAAAGGCTATCGCACGTAACAAAGTTTTAGTCATAATCGTAAGGCCGTAAGAAAATAGACCAATTACACTCGATTATTCTTCAAGCTCAAGGAGAATAATCGACTGTGATTGGTCTATTTCCTTTTACGGCCTTACAATTATGACTAAAACTTTGTTACGTGCAATGGCCTTTAGGCGTTTGATCTGACCGACGAAACTTGAACGGAGAAGGGGGGGTAACACTGTACCCCCTCGGCGGACAAGTCACGTGTGATCCGCGAACAAGTATGCGCTCGCTCTCGCGCGACCATCACCACGTATTTCGACGATGCGTCGGGAGTGTATTGTTTTGTAAACATCGTGGATCAATGACGTGTCATCGACACTTATCGGCGGGGGATGGTGGCGGGGGTGAAGGGGGGCGCGAGGGAGAGCATTTAGCGATAAAATTACGCGCGTGAGTCATCGCGCCGCGAGTGTGGATCATCGCAGCCCGCTACTATTTCAGGCAGTCACGAATAAATTCGACCGTGTACCCCGGTCCCCTCGGGGGAGGGCGAGGATTGGGGAGGGGTAGTACATCCTCCTTTCGCGAGCGTGAACGCGCCGTTTCGCGTCTACGCGATTATCGTCGCCGCCGGGCGCGTCACGCCGGTCACGTGTGTGTGTGTGTGTGTGCCGCCTCTCCTTTTGCCATCCGATCATTCATAAAATCGTCACGTAATTTTCCTCGTCGCCGGTTACCTTCGTTCGTCCGGTCCAGTGCCGGCTGCGCGAAGACGCGTCCGATACCTCCGAAACCGAGAGCCGTCGATGTCACCCGGGGTATCAAAAGAATCACAGACTCTTACGATTCCACGATTTATCACATTAGAAGATAATTTGAGTTTCACTTTCTTAATCGCTTCAGCCGTAATTTTTGCGTATACGTGGAAAGTGAGCGCATAGCATGACGCTTTCTCTCGTGACTTTCAGATAAATTTGCATTCGCTCTCTAAATTCGTGGGGGGACGATCGACGCGTCATCGATATCCGTCCCTACGTTCTATTAAAAGGAAAAAAAAGGATATTCACGCTTACGTGACGCGATAGAACGAAACAATCGACGTTTATGACGCGGACGTACGACCGGAAATTAGCTTGGGGCTAGCCGCGAGACTCGCCGCCGTCCCTGTACCCCGGCGCGAATACCCCTGACCTTACACAGGCTCTCTCCCTCTCTACACCGTGTGAGAATTGCGCATGAGGCGCGAGAATGTCGAAACGTGTCGTATTTTGAAATTGTCCGTGAATCATATTACGGGCTCCCCGTGAACGAAACTATTGTGCGTCGTGTGTCGTCGTTGTCACGTCAGATCGTGCGGGTGGGTATGTGTACGTGTGACGACGCGTAGGCGTAATTGTGGTGTAGGTGCGCCATGCCTCTCCTTCTATTTTGGCCAGGGCCACCTGCGCGAATTACCGGAGATGTCTTTTCTTTTTTAACTGGAGGGATGTAGCGTTCCCTCTGAGAGGAGAACGTGAAAGTGGCGCTCGCCGGTTTACCGTGATCCGGATATTCGCGTCCGCGTTAAACGTTTTGTCCTCAGTTTCGGTTCTCCAATACGAAAAAATCACGTTCGATCCAATTGCAAAATATTACATTAGTTGTACATTATATTGCAGACTGTTGCGCAATGATAATTACGAGGTCTTGTGCTTTGGATTTAAATAAAAGAGATAATGGTGGCAAATATATCGAAATAGACTTGTATACAGCTTCGTATTTTTTTATTCTAAACTCTAAAGTGTAACACGAATTACGCTTCCTCTATAATTCTATTTTATTCTAAGATAACTGGCCGTCGCTACAATAATCTCTTTTTCGTGTTACAGGATCAGCTCTTGAGAGCGACCGACTGATAACTTACGAAGATCTCTCTCCGTCCAAGGACCCAGCGCAACACTGCGAAACGACACTGCGCGGGGTCACCAAAAGCACAAGTGATATTTCTAATAGTTAACGCGTTAGAGATTAGAGGAGCTGAAACCGTCTCGCGAAACCCGCCGTCAGCGTGCTCTTTGTACGTACAAATGTCGGACACTCGATTCGTAATATCCAGTGCTAATTGTAAGTCCGAGTGTGTGTTCAACGCATCTCAACTGTTGTAATCCCACGATCGCGTGGACCAGGAACACGATACGGAACGCTGCGCCGGCGGGAGAGGATTAACGGCTGCGTCGAGTGACACACACACACACCGGGTGTGTACGTGTGCGTGCGTGCGTGTGCGTGCGTGCGTGTCTGTGTGTGGCGCGCAACATGAGAGTGGCCAGGCAGCCTCTGCAAGTACCGACCCGCAGCAACAATGGCAAGTACCCGGTCGGTCCTAACAGTAGTCAGGACGTCATCCATCAGCAGCCGTCGCCGCAGCAACAGCAACAGCCGGCCGGCGACGAGAGCAGCGCGGTGGTGCCGCCGAGCTGCGTCTTCTCGAGCTGCGAGTCGATGCCAGCCGACCTTCGCGGGGGACCGACCCGACCAACCATACTGGGGGATCGATTCCTGCTTCTTGGTCCGGCCGAGGGTAGCGCCCTTTATCGGTGCCTCGACGTGCACAACGGTCAGCAACTTGTCGCCAAGGTCAGTATCGAGATCCTTGCGAGTCGGTTTATCATTTTTGTCGACTCAGCTCGAAGATGGATAGCTTGAAGATTGCGGCACTCGCTCTAGCTTTTTATAAATCTTAACGACGAGTACGAACCATTGACTAAAAGTTTGCAATATCAGCAGCTTACACGTAGCGTGAATTGGTGAAGAGTATAAAATAAGGAGGGACAACTTTATACCCACTTATACCCTAATGTTTAAATATTGTACAATAACTTCTTCCATTAGCCAATACTTAGCAATATTAGCAATGGTATATTATTGAACTAGCAGTATAACTTTAAGATTTATTTTTTACGTTATATTGGAGATTGCTTGCCTCAGATATTTTGTTAACGCGTCGAAGGAATTAAAAAGGTATTAAAGGTATTATATAGATGAAAAAAAAATGATATTCCACGCGGCATTCTTATATAATAATGGCAAAAATGGCTAACGCGATAAATAACGAGGTTTCGCAATATTCCGATGGCAATTAGCTTTTTGCCGTATAATGCGGCACTGGCGCGGCATATAAAGGCGACGGCGCGCCATCGCACGTGGATGCATCCGCGGCGCACTGCAGCTGCCGAGTTTCCATCCAACTGCCGTGGCGTTATATAATAGAGCACACGGACGTGTAACGGTCCGCTAATGTTCGGATCGATCGAAGCTTCCACCGTGAAGCTCGTTGCGAGATCGACGACGACGCAACCGAGCCGGGGCGGCCCTCCCCGCTCGTCTGGGAAACGTTTACAACTTCCTCAAGGAAGACTCAATTAATCCTTATCTAGACGACCTCTTTCCCTAATTGATGGGAGAGGAAAAAAAAACGATTTCCGTCGAGATACCCGTTCGATAAGATACTCGCTCGTTCGCGACGCGAAACCGGCTTTTGTGAGTCAAGGGCGATGTCAAGGGATAAAGAAAACCCATCGGTTGCTCCGACAATCAAATTGGATTCTCCGCGCTATGACTTCCGGATGTTACGCGAAACCGTGGCTTCGTATCTGGATTTCAATGTTTTGCGTCGATAACAGGGAGAAGGCGGACGGACCTCGTTAGATAGATATACCCACGCGCAAAGTAGGTACGCAAACGTAACACGCGCGGGTGTAAGCCGTTTCCTGTTCTTTGGGGGGGGGGGGGGGGGCGTTTATGTTTATTCGTGTCGACTTGCGCCGTATCGCGGAATTTCGCGATCGGAAGGGTTTCAACGTTTCTCCAGCGTTTCTCCTTTTCATTCTCCTTTTTTTTTTCCTCTCCTTCGGCAAGTCGCTCGAAGGGAGCTGTCACGTAACGCGCGCACACGCGGCGCGGACCGGCACGTGGACCCGCTCCTCCCCGTCGCGTTTTCCATTAACATTTTACAATCGCCGTGCGTTATACAATGAGTCGCTTACATCATCGGCGTTGCGAACAAACACAAGGCTGTGTCACCCCGCGGCCCGCCTCTCTCGCCTCGCACATCCGTCGCGTATCGCCACACGCTGTCCGTTATTCATAATCGCTTCTAAAACCGTGGCCGTTTAATTTAATTGACGATTACGCACGAGAGCGTTGCCACGCTTTCGCAAGCGTGTCCGCGTTTTGCGATTGTGATTTCAGAAGAAAAAAAATAGGGGTCACAATTATTTCGGAGAACGGGGGCGAGGGTCGCGAGCACTAGACCCTCAAAGCCATGAGCTCTTCGATATAGTTGGAGATAAGAACGCATCCATAAATAGAACGCGTTCATTGTCATTTTTATTTGCGTCGGAAAAGTTTCCCTGTGAAGCAAATAAGAGGGAAGAGATAATTTTCATTTGATATATTAAGTAAATTAAATAAAATTAAAGGCAAATAAGGGCCAACGCCGATGATAAAGCGAGAAATATAATATACAATAACCTTAATTAAATACAATAACAGATACAATTACGTACGTTTTGGTTTTAAAGTTTATATTTGTCAGCGTACATACAAAAATACACATTATAAATTATTTATATCGTACTTGATAAGTTGCTGGAAATTATAAAATAAGATAAGATAACACTTTGTTGAGTTCACCCGAAAAGAGCTGATTTTTCCTGTATACGTTTATTCTCTCAATTTCCCCCCCCCCCAAAAAAAACGCGAACAAGTTTTTCGGCGCATTTTCTGAGTTGGGAGCATTACAAAAGCGGCGTTCGATGGCCGATCGGGGCGATTTCGTAAAGAATGCACGGTGCTCTTATTAAACTAATGAGACTCGAATGTCGAAACGGTGTCAGGTTTCGACACGAGCCAGAGAGATGAACAGCTGGACGAGCAGAGTTTCAAAGGTGATCGACGATTTCGTCCGATTTCGTCCGTTGTATGTAGTTTTCAGAAAGTTTTTTTGCTCTGACACAGGTCGATATAAAAAGCATTATTTATAATTACAAATAATACACATTCAAAGCTATAGCTATGTCGGTTAGACCTGTACATTTTCTATCTGTTTTCTATTTGCCATTATATTACGTTATATCGAGGATTAATTATAATCTGTGTTATGACACAGTGTATAGCCACCGCATATCGAATTGCCTTGATATCGATATCTGGTATATGAATCTGGCCGTTAATTAAAATAATTAAGAGAATTGGGGCGGATGTGCAATTTTAACCTAGAAATTGTTTAATTTTCAACCTCGAAATTGATCGACGTCGTATGACTAGGTAAAGAACCCACGTATCTTAAATAATCGTCACTTAAGTATGCGAAGTGAGCATCGTCCTCTCAAGGATATCCGCTTGGAATAATTGAAGCTCGTTGAGTGATAAAATTCATTTCCATCCGAACCGAAATCGAATACAGTATACAGTCGGTATCGAGTTTCCATCAAGAACGCTTGTTAAAAGGCAGAAGCATCCGTCGTTTTGCGCTCCAGAAAAATATTGAATACCCATTCCAAAAATAGAGGCTTATCAGGAATATTAAACGCAGGATAAATGCTGAAGATCATATCAATTAGATGATTGTGATAATTAATTCCATTTAGGAGAACGAAACGTTTTATCTATCTAGAAATATCTCTGGAGTGCATTTCCGGCGTATTTTTCAACCGGCGTTTTTAATCGCCTTTGTTGCTGACTCCGTTTGCATTTCCGGATTGCAGGCGCTGACCGTGGGCGACAAAGGTTGCGAGGCGTTGCTGCAAGCCCACCTTCGTCTGGAGGGCACCGGCGCGGCGAGCGGCGTGGCTGGCGTGGTGGAGGCACCTGGAGGCCGGCGCTATCTCCTCTTGGAGGGCCATCACGGTGACCTGCACGCCTACGTAAGGGCACGCAGGAGACTACGCGAGCCCGAGGCGAGGCGGCTCTTCCGGCAAGCGGCCAGGGCCGTGGCGACGTGTCACGAGTACGGGGTCGTGCTGAGAGACCTCAAGCTCCGGAAGTTTGTTTTCGCCGACGAGGCGAGGTGAGAATATAATTTCCAGTTTAGTATTTAGATTCTTTAAAGTGACTTCGACCAAACTCCAAATTAACTTAACCAACTAGTAAAGCAATACCTGCCTATAGAATTATTAACTTTTAACACATGAAAAGGAGACTTAGACTTAGATCACGAATAAAAAATTACTAAAACTTTTATTGGAGATAATTACACTATTTTGAATTAACCAGCGTTTGAGTTTCGTCCAATTCGCTTTCAAAATCGAGTCTTCGATTTATCAAACCTTTGTAGAAACGATGATTTAATACGTCTCTGTCATAGACTAGATCTAAATTCAACTATTTTGCTTCATTTAAAAAGAAGAAAACGTTATGAAGGATATAAGCTTTCTTTCAATTCTTATCAGTTCGTATTGTATTTCCGGTCACTTATATTTTTGCAATACTATACGATATATAGATAAATAATCAGCGTAAATTTTCGTCGATGATAGTCGAGTAAAGAATCAATCAAAGTCGGAGCATCTTTCCCGCGACGATTAATTGAAAGGTGATAAGATAAGCGACACACATCCGGATCGAAGCGAAGGGTATCGCGATAGCGCAGGGTTCGCGTTCGCTTTTCCGAGTGAAGGGGAAATCGATTGCCGTGAGTGTGTTTTTTCTCGTGCGAGTGACCTCTCCGTTCTCGGTGCTGGAAAGAAATACGAGCGAATATGGAAATGAAATGAAATGAATATAAACCAATTCGTCGCGGATCGCGTGGCGTCGTGCACTCGCTCGAACAAGGGGGAGAGCGCGTTTCTCTAAAGTATATACGTAGGTATATCGTATACTTTCAAGACGCGGTTTTTTATATTGCATCTTGCTACATCCGTCATCGTCTGAAAACTCAGTTAAAATAAACTCATTCAAGAACACACGGGATTCTGTATCGAATAGGGAAAGTATAATATTGGTTGATTGATATTAATCGCTCTCGTTAGAGCGATATCAATCACTCAAGTTAAATATACTACAACTCAAATCTCATTATGCAAACACCATGTCTTATTTATAATCGTAGAAGCCAAAATATTTTCTCAGAAACTGAACAGAAGCGAGAGACGAAGCGATCCCGTTTGCGAAATAGTGCAAAACCAAATTTAAATTCGCGTAAAGTAAAGCTTGACTCCAAACAGGTGCGTTGCAAATCTTGACGAGTTACGAACAACGTGACCGTTCTCGTTATATATCCCTGTGGGATTTCATTAGATCGCGTCGAGTGATTTAGGGTATGTTTGCGAAGCTCGTTCGCGCGGCGTTATCTGTTCGCGATACGACATACGACGCACCCACGTGTCGCCGCGGAACTCAGGCGCGGACAGGCGAGCGCGTACGGGCGTACGGGCAAAACACAGCACAGCCGATCGGAGTCAGGCCGTGCCGAGCCGGGCGTGTGTGTCGTGCACACGGTGTACGCCGGCGATCGGGAGATCGACTCGTATGTCGGTCCGTTGTTGGCCAATCCGCATTCCTACCGCGCGGCGAGCTCTGCTGCTCCCGCGCGCGGCGCGTATACGTAAGAATAAGGAGAGTCCGGGGAATGTTGCAAGCCAGAAAAGCATATTGGTTCATCGGCTGCTGCTGCGGCGGGGTTTTGAAACGTCGGTATAATTAGGAAACGCGTGGCTCGGCTCGGTTCGGTTCGGTTCCACCGCGACGCGACGCGAGACGGCCGACATCCGAGACGGCCGCGTGGCATCTTCTCCTCTCTTTCTCCGAGAGGGAGGAGTTTCGCACCTTCCTCGAATAATCCCCTTAGGATTGCAATAACGTGCGGGATTCGGGGTCTAACGAACAGTTTGGTAATGATAATTATGAAATAAGAGGATCCGAGAATTTTAATCGTTGAATTAGTTTGATAACCAACGTGGTAAATTGATCCGCCAATCTTCCCTCAAATCCTGCGACTTTGAGAGAAAATTACTCGCATTAATTGATTTCGAACGCGTTCTTCTCCCTTTCTGAAAGTTCGCCGAGATCTCCGTCTCGCTCGCGGGTCTCCCGCGTGGGTTTCTCTTTACCTCATCGGTCGACAATGGGCGGATTAAGGCGATCAAATCAGTCTTTTCCCGGATGCGCCGTCGCGTATGGAGAGTTCGACCTAAGTATTGTAATTGCTAAATGCATCACGCGTGTCTCGGCTAAAACGTGTGCCGTCGTTATTATCGTCATCGTTGGTCGTCGTCGTCGTCGTCGTCGTCGACGACGTTTGGCTCGCGGTGAAAAGCATCTCAACGCGATCTCGTGGCCGGATTTCTCTCCGCCACACATCACATTTCGCAACGGCACCGAGCTGGTCCAGTTCGGCGCCGAATTCAATCGGCGGGATCGTCATTCGCAGGGTTAACGATCTCCGCGGAGTAAAATCGTCGTGTCTCGTTTGATTCTGGGGCTCTCGAGACACACACACACACTCTCTTTCTCTATTCTTGAAACTGTAAATCCGAGACATTGACCCGAGACCTGTATTCGGGAATTTCGCACGCGCACATCCGTGTAATCTACTCAAGTATTCGCAGGAAACGTTAAATGCTCACTTTGCAGCTACGAACTATACTTTAAATTCTAAATAACTCGATATTGATAACGTAAATGTAGGAGATGGCTGCTTCAGAATAAATAACCGCTCAAAAAGCAATTTCTCTACGCCCGGGATGGACATTTGCATTTACATAGCCGTTTATTAGATCCGGATTTTCCTTGTACGACACGAAGATTAATTTAATCGTGGGACGAAAATAATCTCGAGGCGATCCACCTCTCGCCGTTGGAAACATCAATTTGCCGCGTCTGCGAGCGTAGTCAACTGATTAATGACGTTGATTAATGATTCGCGTGATATCAGCGGCTCTCTTCTTCCAAGAATTGAGCTTTGCAATTGTAATATCAACAAAGAAACGAAAGTTCCTCGCGTTTAGATAATTTCATCCGGGGAGATCGGTGCTTTGAAAGCACCAACGTTTTGGTCTTTTGACATTTGTTAAAACATTTCACGAGCCGTCTAAGAAATCACACAGCGTCTAGTATCCGCCGCGCCGAGGGGTTCTTGAACCCGGAGCGATATCGTGCTGCGCGACCGGCGAACGGGTGAAAGTTTGCGAAGAAAGCTGTGCGATGCCCCTCTCTCTGTCTTTTTCTTTCTCGCTGTCTATCTCTCTCCGCGGCGGCCGTGTTTAGTTCATCACGGATGGCCTAGCGTGCCATCGCGTTCGTTCGATTCATTTGCTCGTGAGAGAGAGAGAGAGAGAGAGAGAAGAGGCCATTGACACTCGTTCGGATTGTCAAGATCGTGTAACGACTCTCTCGCGTGACGCGTGCGTTCACCGAAGGCGCGCTTCCGTCTCTCGTGGCTTTTCCGAAATGCGCGCTGACGACGCGTCTCGATGCGCTGACGGCTGAATCATTTCTTTGACACGCCTGAGAATATAATGGATTGTATTGTTTAACTTGGCGAGAAATCTCATTATTTTAATCAGTAGACGTTCTTTCGTTAGAAATTTCTTCATTTACGTGTTTATGATGAGAAATTTCTAATTACGAGATAACACTATTGTATTAGTGATAAATTAATACGAAATTAGTATGCATACCTTTTACGAAGGCAAAATCAATTTCTCAGGAAGTGCAATTTCGATTTAGCGTATATATGGGATTTGTCTCTCTCGAATACTCGCTCTTTCAACTACATTACTTCACTGAGCGCAACATGAATTTTTGTAATAAATGGGACAGCCAGTAATTCTTAAGTACATTCGTCAGGGCTAAAATATCTCTGATGCTGTAAGTGACTCGAAGGAACGATAAGTACAGGAATGTGTACTTCTGTAGGAGGCTATATACGATCTGGGATACGCGGCGCTTTCCCGAGCGCGCTGCCCTCTTCTCGGCCGAAGGCATCGTGGGCGAGAATACGAGTGCTCGTGTCGAAGGAGAGCTCAGAAGTTACCCAAGAGCCAAGAATATTACGTACACGCGCGACTTCCGCGTTGCAGGTTGATCAACGCAACGGCCAGCGCAGCGGGCCTCTCTTTCTCTCACTCTCCATCCATCTCTCGCCCTTTCTTTTTCTCTCGTCGCGCCTTATTCCGCGCTGAGCCGACGACTGCAGAGAACGATGGCTCAATCGCGGTGTCCTCTTGCTAAATTGAAATACCTTGCCTTCGGGCGCGCACTTAAAGTACACGCGCGCGCGCGCGCGCGAGGCGAAGCCGGGGATCTCTCTCTCTCTCTCTCTCTCTCTCCCCGACCGCGCGCATTAAAAGATTGCACGATCCTCTCGGCTTCTAGACCGCGCGGGGAGCGAGTAGATCGTAACCGGTCGATAATAAATGCAGGACTTGGCGTAACGCGTGCCCGAGACACGCAGAGAGCGAATTTCACACGACGCGCCGAAAGGAAAAAAGACCGTAAATCTTTTGCAACGTTTAATGCCCTATCTCGTGGCTCATTTGAGAGAAAGACACGGATCTTTGATCTTCTCGATATCTAGGTGGGCCGTTCGTCCAGGTGTACGCCCACATGGCTATTGAATGATTCTTTTCACATCTTAAAAGCGAAATAAATTAAAATTAAACGGATAGAGAGAGAGAGAGAGAGAGAGAGGGGGACGGGTACGGGTACGGGTAAAACGGATAGGGATACACGACTCGATTATCTTCGAGACAATGGCAAATCGCGTGTAATCATCACGTTATCGCAATCTCGAATTTTTTTTTCCAATCGGACATTTCTTCTTTCCAGAACGCGGCTTCGCCTGGAGAGCCTCGAGGATGCGGTGATCGTGGAGAACGACGACGACAAGCTGACCGACCGGCGCGGCTGCCCGGCGTATGTCGCGCCGGAAGTGCTGCGCTCCGGACGCGCCTATTCCGGCAAGGCGGCGGACATCTGGTCGCTGGGCGTGTTGCTGTACACGATGCTGGTGGGCCGTTATCCGTTCAACGACGCCGAGCACGCGTCCCTCTTCGCCAAGATCTCGCGCGGCCTGTTCGCCGTGCCGGAGGGCCTGAGCCCGCGCGCCAAGTGCCTGATCCGCTCGCTGCTGCGAAAGGAGCCGTCCGAGCGGCCGTACGCCGAGGACGTGCCGCTGCACCCGTGGCTGTCGAAGCCGTTGCGGTTATACACGCCTACGTCCGGCAGTAGGTCCTCGTGCCAGGACCAAGTCGTACCAGAGCTATCTATTAATCCTCAACAAGACTGACTCTCTCTCTTTCGGGGGAAGGATCATTATTCCGCGCGTGACGGCATCACTCTCTCTCATCATCCTAGTGCTTCTCTCGCGCCGACAGCCGGATCGAGTCCTCCGGCCGAGAGGGGGGAGTTGGCACAATCAAAAGAAGAAGGGGGGGGGCAAAACGATTTTCTCTTAACACATTGGCTGTACCCGTAGAGAGTAGCGGATAAACTCGGCGAAAAGCGAAACTGTCGTCTTATATATCAGAATGCGCGAAAGGAACTGTCATCAAAAGAGCAATATTCAGCAAAAAATTCTACCTTCAAAAAGATTTGCAAATTGAGAAATATATATCCTGGCAGTCAATGTGTTAATGGCAGATGAATTTACACACATCGTTCACGTAAGCTCGAGTCGCGCAGTCTCTAGCTTGGATTGAAAAATCGAATCGATTCTTGCGTGGAGACGCGCGGCTAACTATGGCTAAGGATGCTAAGTCCTTCTCTTTTCGCCGGCGAGGGACGGCCTAGAATAAGCTTCGAAGATAGAGCGTACTAACGTGAGACGAGAGTAATCGTTCTCGATGGAACTTTTACGTAGGGGAGAGTAACCAAAGTCTCTATCCTGAATACAATGCCCTGGATTATTTTCCTCGCTGTTTAACGCCGCAACCTGCGAGTTGAACGGTCAAAGTTGAAACCTTGAATAAGATGATATTACGTCTTATTATATAAAGATAAGCTCTTTCTAGTCTAGAGACAACTTGCAGGGTCGAAGCACCGAAACAGCGAAAGTAATTGAGGGGATTCTCTGTAAAATAACGTGTCTCGATTTTGGTCATTCTCCGCTGGCAATTTCGGAGGCAACGTGACGCAAGTGATTAGTCTCTAAAAAAAAGTTTCTATCGGCTATATAGAGTCTTAGATTCGAGAAACATTGCCATTATCGGTCCAAGAAACATTTCGCCTTGTTGCGTAATACAGATATATTCGCGCGCGAGCGCGAATTCCTTGTGATAGAATCTGACAGATTCTGAGCGATGTATGTGATACGAAATATACACAGGTTGTTTCATAAGCGTTATGCGGTTACTTGCGGTCATCTGTCTCTGAAGTCCATGTACATTAATTATATTGTAAACGATCGAATTCGATGTTTGTATTATGCGTTAGGCACACCCGAGTACATCCTCGACTTTCTCGATATTTCGCGTTGCGTATCTACACACGGGATAATTTTTTACGCTGTACCGGCGAATCCGCTGTATACACGAGTAAACAGTTATCTAAATGCGAGCAAGGGACTCTAAATGTAAGTTCGAGTACAACCGGTGAGCTTTGTATAATATAGTATATAATATAAAGCGATGAATATATATATGAATGGGATCAGAGATTGAGTCGGATTCAAAGTTAAAAACTCACGTAGTCTCAAAAGGGAAAACATGATGATTTAACACGAGACTAAATTGCCTAATGACGACCAAATGTTACTAGAGCAGGTCGAACGAATTTAACAAAGCGAGTTTCTAATCTAAACTCCGACTCATTCTTCCTGCACTCCCGTTTACCTGTCATCATTATATCACGAAGTCAATCAAATATATTAGGCGACAGGAAGGAATATTTCTCGTTTTAAAGCGAAAAAAAAAATTCATTCTCCGACCTAAAAACATTGCCTAGAAAGTTCAAGACTGCTTGGACGTGTGGCCTATACAATTAACTTTATTAGAGAAAAATACGAATACGTTGACACGTGAATTTCTAACTTAAGAACAATAAAAGAATACGCTTCTGGATTACTCGCACGACGGCAGTATCCATGAAACTATAAATGTGTTCATCGATGGCAATGTTTTCAGGTAGAGTAACTCTCTAGTGAATGAAAGACAAGATTTACTCTCTTCTGACTCAGACCTCTAAAGTCATCGCTTGCGCGATATATGTACAGCTCACTAGGTTCCGATTTATAAAAGCGAACGAAGCGAACGATCGACGTTTTTATATCAGTTTGGGGCGTATGAGGCTACGCGTTCCATTTTGAGGATTTTTCTCTTAAGTAAAACTCTCCGATCGACATATAGACCTACGAATGATCCTTGACGACTCTACTTTCAGTAGAGATTGTTATTGCCGCAAGTCAATTACGAGAATAAAATTCCAAGGTAGACATTGAGATTTTCATTTACATCAATGCCAAGTAGCGTAATATCCGTAATGAAGTTTTCCTCTTTATGTTAAATGGTGGGTTTGATCGTATAGATACATCAATGTAGACGTTAAATAAAGGGATATCGATGCCGCAGTCATCGGTAGATGTGTCCAAAATAGCACTCCTGAAATGTTTTCCGGAGTCAACACTAACGCTAAGTTTTAAATTAAGCAACCGATTAAAACCGCCATCTCACATAGACGAAATGAATTACGGCTTTTTCTGTGAAACACTTGCGAGGGAATGGGGAGAACAAGTTCCTTAATATCACCAAATAATTGCAGAGTGCGAATCGAAATTTATTAATTTAGAGATATTCCGGAAGATTTTTTATTTAATTTAAATACCCTACAACAAACGTGTTTGCTGAACGCCGTTTGTTTCGCGGAACATCGCTTTCGAGGAACATTGCTCTAGACATGAGAATCATCTTGGATTGTGGATGCGAAGTTCAGTCTTGCGTGAAGCTTGAATCGGATCCGCGTCGGATGACCTCGAGACGTTTCTCGTGGCCCATAGAACTTTTGGTTTCGGAATCAGGATCAGAATCGGGATTGGGAAAGGAAAAGCCAGAGATTACGGGGTTGTCGATCGTGACTGCGACTCCTTACCTCGGCCCTTCACGTTCGACGAAAGTACCATGTGTTCTTGTATTTAAAGATACCTGTCTACCTACCTATTTACGCTAACTCTTTTGTAACTTCCGCGAGAGAAAGAAAGAAAGAGAGAGAGAGAGAGAGAGAGAGAGACCTCTTTTCCTTTTTATTTTATAATATTCGCGCACCGTAACGGGACACGGTACCCCGGTGCGGCGCGCTCCTCGTATCGTTCTCAGTCAGGGTACAAAACGCCGTCGCGCATTCATCGACGTTTAATTTGTACATAAGTTCGACGCGATTACATCCTATTGTATTCAATCATTGTCTAGGTGCGATTAAGGGAATTTCGTTTCTGTACATAGGTAAAATAAAGTGGCGTTTATGATGAAGAGCGACGAATATGTATCTTTCTCTATTTTGCGACTTGTTTAGCGGCCGGAGATTGAATCTCTTACGTCCGGTAGGACGTATATACATCTCGAAATGATAATATTTCTGGAAAATATTGAGTCATTTGGGTCAAACAGCACTCGACATAAACAGGATTGCTAAAACTTTAATAAAAAAATATTGCGATGAACTATATCAAGTTAAAAATTATTATTATTAAATTAAATCAAATTGAAAAATTATTGACGTAAGATCCAAAATTTCTCGAATTAACAAAGGATTTTTTTTTTAATTTAAAGATGATAACAATTGCGAGACGTGAGATGTGGCAATTTCAAGTTTTTTTATCACGTTGCGTAAGTTGTGCGAATCATTTACGTAATTTTTCTTCGGTCTGACGTCACAACTCGTAAAAGAAACCACGGACCTTTGACGCAGAGGAAAATCAGGGGCGGTTTAAGATACTCATGAGCCCCATTCGCGATTTAACTCCAGACTCGTGGACATAAAAAAAAACGAGGAAAAATAAAATGGGACGCTCAAGAGATTATCCATAATTTTTTTATTTATGAAAAAATTATGCAACCATGAAAAACACTGATCGCAGGATATGAGAATTAATAATTGAATTTTAATTTATATTTTATTACAAAAAAATAAGAATTTTATAAAAATACTGATATACGGGTATTTAAATTCCCCGAGTCACGTGGCGTCGCGTCGTATTATAGATACGATTAAAGGGACGGGAGTCGCGCCAGCCGTTGACAGCCGCAAATTTGAAAGCGATTGTTTTCGAAACGCGCTGCGGCGACGGGGACGTCGCTGCGGTGCCGCGCGGCGGAGTGAAAAATGGCCGCAAACGTGAGAACAGGTGAGTGATAACGTAACGGACCGTCGGCGGTGCGTCGTCGGCGCCGCGAATCGCCGTTTCTCGTGCGCGACTCCAATGGAGACGGGGGCCTTCCTCGCCCCGGAAAACGGAACGCGAGTAACGCGACACCTCCCGCTCGTCCCGCTTCGTCCGCGATAACGAGTCCCAGCGGTCCCAGTTCTCCCAGTCAGTCCCAGGTCGCTCGCGACTCGCGGCGGCGCGTCGAACTCTGACTTCTCGGCCCCCCGATCCGATATCCGATCGTCGGCGAACGCGAGAGATAAAACACGCGCCGCGAGCCGCGAGTGGTTCGCGTCTCGCTTATCGACGCGATATCCGCGTCGTGTGGGCGTACATCGTGCGTCGCGAATCGCGGAACTGACGACGCGCATTTGTGCACACGCGCCTGTCCATCCGTCCATCTGTCACGCAGACACGCACTTTGTAAACTTTGTTTTGGAGAATTCTTCCTCGTTTCTCAGTCCTCGTCCTCACTCGCGCGCGCGCGCGTGCGGATGCGCTTGTCGCTTGTGTGTGGGCGGTGTGCGTGTGTGCGCGCGCGCGCACGGACGCGTGCGTACCATCGTGTACGAGGAACCGATCGTGCGTCAGAGCCCAGCGGCCAGCTGCCCAGTTGTCTGATCATTGTCGCCTGTCGTTGCTTTCAGACATGCTGATACCGACGCGCGCGGCGCCTCGTCCCCCGGATCAGAACGCGATGCAGAGAGACCCGATCTGGAGCAGCAGGTAGGATTGTTTTCTGTTCTTTGTGCCTGTGCACTGTATTACGCTCTTTGTGCTCGAAACGAATGTATGAATTGGATATTGAAGAGAAAGAGAGTATCAGCTCTAGAGAACAAATCTCTTATCTTTGAAAATACCTGTCGAAAACTCGAGTTAGAATTTTAGCTTTCAAGTTTATCTAATCTCTGCAGCGTCGCAGTAATGTATCCTTGCGTGTTTTCAGTAACGATATATTCGGAGGTGCCCTGACGACGCAACCTGGACAGAAAAGGAAACCGCCTCCTCGACCACCGCCTCCGAAGTTCAACTATAACCACACGCAATATCAAAGGGACCAGAAACCGAGAAGACCGGTAAGGATTGTGAAGTGTGCTTGTAGTTCTTCACACATCTACTACCTATGGATACAGTAATTTAATAGCTATTTTATTTCGCACGCTAGGCAAGGCCAACAGAGCTGTTGACTAATTTTTTTGGACGAAAGAAACCAGAGAATCCTCTACCATCGCGTTCCACCGGCCAAATACAAAATCCGATGACGCAGCCCTCGAATTCTGCCACGACGGTATCCTTGATAGATCTCAGTCCGCCTGAGTCGCCGACATTCACGACTCGCTCCAGTGACGGTGTCAGCGTCGACAGTTTTGGCAGTGACGGAAACTCCAATCCATCTGTATTCACGAGCAGCGGGAACACATCGCAAACGGAAAGTGCCTTCGAGGATGATTTTGATTTTTTCGGCATGTCTGCCAGGAAGATGACGCAAATCGATCCGTGGCAGACTAAGACGACGGTGCAAGATCCGTTCGGCCCTCTGGAGGACACGTCCTCGAACGTGTCTCAGACTGCTGGCGGGACGTCACTCTTTCCTTTTAGTTCCAAGAATCGCGTAGCGAACCAAGTGCCTTCCAATCCGATCGCTTCTAAACCTCTCGTCACGTCGATGCCCACGATAATCCGAGCGAGGCCACCTAAACCTCCGGCGCCAAAGATACCGTTTAAGAAACTCGAACCGATACCTAAGGAAACGTGTACCGACTTCGCAGTCTCGAGCGGCAGCGGGACGAATAAACCGTTGACGTTGCGTTTCTCTAACGCATGGCCCAATGACGGTGAAGAAAGCGACAGTCCATCGCCCCCCATGCCGACGATTCCACCGCCGGCCCTACCCGCGAATTATTTGGCAGAATTTAGCAGCAATTTTGAAGTGAGTGTTGTAAACTTAAAGTTATGTGCAGCTTGTATGTAAAAAGAAATGAGGCGCGTTCTCACATTATAATGTTGACAATTTACAGGGAGATTTCAATGAACCTCACGGTATTGCGCTGTATGATTTTTCGGCAACACATCCGGACGACTTAGCTTTAAAGGAGGGCGACGTCGTGCAATTGGTGAAAAAGGTCAACGACGACTGGTTGGAGGGAAGAATAGGAAATCGTCAAGGGATGTTTCCGCTTAGCTTCATTGATATTAAAGTACCTCTGCCAGGTTTATCAGACAACGTGGTCACGGCGCTTTACGCTTTTCCAGGAGAGAACAGCGATGATTTGTCGTTTGAGGTATCAAAGATTACGGCAAAGCAATTAGACGAAAGATTTATTATATTCCTAACGTTGCTTTAATATTTCAGGAGGGCGCAAAAATTACAGTCATATCAAGGATATCGGAAGATTGGTTGTACGGTGAGTACAACGGTAGGAAGGGACAATTTCCAGTAAACTATGTAAATAGACTTCCGCGTAATATTTAAACGTTTTTTCAATAAATGTTTTGTATCCAGTGTATATTAACAATTTACTATTTCGAGAGCCTCCGTATTGCAAACATTATTTAGAATCATTAATTGGATCTTTACAAGTTAATACTAATTGTAAGAATAGTGATAAAAAAAAAGAAAGTATAAAAACGGATCTTTTATGATGTAATTTTGATGTACAAACTGTTCAAGGAAGAAAATTTTAGAAAATTTTACTAACAGAAAGACTGAATTACACATACGAGTTTCGATCGTCGTGTTCCAATAGAGATAATTTTCAAAAATAATCGCGATATTATCTTTAAGAATTAGAAGATAGCATTATCTGCGATATATTGGTGATATCTACAATTCATTTAGCTTACTCTTTTTCAAGAGTTTTGCACCCTCTATCGTTTGCAATATTTTGTAAAAGATGCTACTAAAGCGATGTTTCTTAGTTCGAGATTTTACACGTGTATCTAACATTTTGAGAGTTCAATTTTTACTAAACATCTTGTATATGCCTTATATTTTTCTGAATGCGTGAAAAAAATTTTTCTATATTTCATATTTTATTCATTGTTTCGATTCAGAGTTTCTTTATATATCTGCGTTTTCGAAAATGTATTTAAGTTTATTTTAAATATTTCAAAATCTACTTTGAGAATTTTATATGAGGACATATCTTAGCATACATTGAAGTCTGGCATATACGGAAGACAATTATTTAAATATAATTTAAATATATTGTGCTAATATATAAGATATAACAAACCTGCCAAGGTTTACAAATTGTTAATATCGATTAACGAATGAATAATCCATTTTGGTTTAGATATTTCCTTCTCAAGTGTTATTTGAAGAGAATGCGTTTTGATAGAGTTCTAAACAATCAAATGAAAAATAATGCAGTCTTCGTTAAGTAATTTCACTGATTTAGATCTATCTTCTTGGAATTTTTTTTAGTCAGATCTAGCATAAAAATATAAAGTTACAATTTTGTTGTATATATTGTATTTGAGAATCTAATGCTCCTTTTACATATAAAGTTAGAAAATTATTCGATATATCTTCCCTATTTATACACTATAAATATACATTGATTTTCTTTTAAAAATAAATATGAAAGTAAAGATGATTATCTCAGTGTATAAATAAATATGTTGGATGTCTATATCTTCTGTATTATATATATACGTATTTTCTAACTTAGAGTTTATTTCAGTAAAAGTTACCAACATGGTACGGTTGTATGTGTATATTATGTGAATGCATAATTAGGTGAGAGGGGGGGAAGAGGCAATGACGTAGTTTAGATAACTGATCATTTAATGTACCGTTAAGATGAATAATTATTACTGTATATATGTATACTTAATTATATTCATATGCGAGTTATGTAATTATGTTTGTTAAAATTATAATTTAGTATGTTCATTGAAATTCGAATGTTTCGTGATACACACACCAAGTCACTAGCTCAATCTTAGGAAAAAGAAAATCAGTGAATTCTATATATCATTTTAAGTTATTTCGTATTGATTTAAAGAGAACGGTACAAGTTCTAATTGTACACACCTTACTCTCGTATACAGTCTTACTCGGAATTCTCGTTAGTACAGTATTAATACGATATCCCAGATTGCATCGAAGATCTGCATTGGGACCAGAATGTTAGTTTGTAAGAATAGGAAAGGAGATGGTGATGAAATTGAAAGTTGTCGCTTGAAGTCAAAATGTAATAACAACGTCTTTACACGTAATTAAATTGCTATGTAATTCTTAAAAACCACGCTGTTAATGCAGACGACGCCTAATACGCAATGTGATATTTTGCAATGTTTAATGTGTAAACATTTCATGTGTATACAAAATAAACTTAAAAAAGAATAAATAAACTTTCCCCGAGTAAAACTTCCACTCTCCCCGAGAAATTGCTTCCGGGATCGATTAAAGAGATAACGACACGTAATGCACGTTTATAAAACGATCGAAAAAAGAGATAATTATTTATCACTTTGAGCTGAATGTATATATGTACCTTTTCCGCCGTAAAAGACGGGTATGTGTGAGCTGTAATTCAACGTTCCTACATTGAAGAGAGTTTCCTTCCTAATGAATCGCGCTTTTTACAAGTTAGGTAACGTTGCTGTCCCTTTCGTCGGCATTGCTTCTCGTCGTATTATTGAATTGTTTGTTTCGCGTGACAGCCCTCGTCAGCAACGCGCTGCAAGATCGTAAATGTCTGTGACAATTATTCCATGTGTTGCATCTCGAAACATTCCTGCGGCACGGCAGATACGTGTCCGTGTAATTTTTCAGCGTTTGCGTTACGACGCTTCTGAACTTCTTTCCTGTAAGATAATACAGAAAAAAATTTATTGCGAAAGTCCAGTGGTATATGTGAAAGCACAAGCCGCGGCACCACTTGAGTAACATCTTCTCTTGCAGCCTGAAAAAATAATACCACCATTTGAACAAAATAGTTATTAGCAACATATTTTATTGTCATATGTATAAAGTATATAAAGTGTAATAATATAATTGTAATTATATAAATAAATGATATTATTTATTACATAAAAGGTGTCGAAAATGAGAGAAATAATTCGGAACAATGTAATATATGCTATGAAATATTTTTAATGCCAATTTCTATAATTTGGAAGCTAGAATTGTACCAGTGTATATATCTCTCGTTCTTCCCCGCATTAGCAGGATGTTTAATTAAAATCACGTCCCAATACAGTTCCAGCGTTTCGACAATTCCCAGCGGTAACAGCAAGATTAAATGTACTATTGACACCGCGAGCAACGTCCTGCTCGAGTTGTGCGTTCTGTTGCCTCTGTACCTAAAATTATCTGAGGCGAGGGTCGCCGTTAGATCTCTCCCCGGTGCGGTGACGTCGCGCGCGTCAACGATCGCGGCGATGACTTACGAGTTAATTCGTTGTGGATCTTGTAAGACTTTCTTATGCGAACGATCAGCAGCAGGTTGCCGATCGATATGAAGAGCAAGGGCAGCCAGGTGGACAGGGCGATGTAAAGGTACATTGCGCTACCCCATGGCTTTATCTTCTCCTGGCACGGTACAAATTCGAAAACGCTGTCAGTCTCGTACCCTACAATTAGCGTAAATCGTGATTCATTGACGAAAGGAAAACAATCGGGCACGTATATAATCATACAGTGACGCAATTGGAATCGAATTAAGCGCCGGGAAAGCGATATATGGGGTCGTGACGCTTTACCGCCGGAGTAGAGCTTCGTTAAGGATATTATGAAGCTTATGCAGACTAGACTGGTGATGGTTGTAATTGCCGAGCGATTCTGGCAGTCGCGAGCCCCGAATGGAAACACCACGGCGATGACGCGCGTCCATGTGAGAGCGACGATCAGCCAGGTTGACGTAAATTGGAAAAATTCCATACTCACGGAATTCGCGCCGCATAAGAACTTGCTGTTCTGCAAGAGAATTGTTCTTTAGCGCGTCGTGCGAAAAGTTGATCCTCCCTGATCACCTTATTCCTAACGTTTCAAGGGGTTATTTTAATAAATTTTACATGTTTTCTGCCCAGCAACGTCTCTTGTACCGCGTACATCACAATAGAATTTTTATTATCGCAAGCGTATAACGATAAAATATTGCCTAATATGAAATAAGACAATTAATATCCTCATGAGTAGTGTTTTAAAAAATAAATGTTATATGAAAAAGTTTGAATGACATAAATAGCTAGATACTAATGTAAAAAATACGCTTCTCTTTACACTGTTATATCTATTTCAAAATTCTTTATTAAATGCCATTCATATTTCGCAAGCAAAAATATTGATGACGCATGGTCAGTAACAGCTAAGGAGGTCACTGAAAAATCAGACGCCGGTCGCAGAGATAATCACCGTGGCGGTCAACATGTTAACTGTAACTTCAATTTCGAAGTCAACGATCAATCATGCCCAAGACGCTGATGTACGATGAAATAACAGTTTTTTTCTTTTCAAACAATTCTTTTCGGTTGGTCTCACCATGTGTTGTATACGATAGACCGAATAGACTTCGAGCTTTACTAAGGTCTTCCTCAATTGATGCTGAGATTCACTCAGGGCCATCAATTGAGGAGGACCTTGAGCCAATTGAAAGAAATCGTTTGAAGAACAAATTGAAGTTATAGTTATATATCTTTATTAACGAGAGCCAACTCTAAATTGATTTTGTTCGTTTATTTCGCCCGAGTGGACGAATTTCTTGCGGGAGGACCAACGAGCAACGGGATAAAATCGATCGCGCACACACACGGGATATTTACCATAAAGAGATCGTTAACGGACGTGGAGTGTGATTTTGCGACGCTGACGGCGTAATTGAATATTAACGCTCCATTGTCCGATATAGCGAGCGCGCTTAGATAAAGTGACAAATTGGAGTCACATAGCACAGGTGCGCTCAACATACTAAAAGATACAGCATTTAGCAATACACCTATACGAAGTGGGTTATACAACGTTGTATGAGAAACAGTCGAGAACGAGTTGTACGGTGCAGCGCGTCGCGACATCCCTTACCGAGCGTTATGATAAACGGCGTTACATAGCGGAGCAAGAAACGGACGGATCTAACGAACGGCCGCAACGACAGCCAGTACGAGCGCACTTCGCATGGCCATTTAGCTTCCAAATCGGGCTGACTAGAATTGCGAATGAAATCCAGAACTGTTATTGGCAAGGGACACCTCGAGACGGCTCTGAAAATTCAAAGGATGCAGGGCCTGCTAATTCAACGTGCGCATAGTAAAGAAAAATCAATGAAATCAAACGTATCACGCGGTAATAATTGAGTAATAAAAAAACATACTTTATTTTATTTCTATTTTTTCGATATTGAAACTCAATTACTTTAAAATATGGAAAATGGGAGATACTATAGATTTAAATCGTGGAACTTTCTTACCTGAGGGAGGCGTTGTACGTTAAGAAAATCTCGGTAGAATTCACTGACAGAATACTCGCGACGAATATCAACGTCCGAACATTTGTTTTGCGCAGCAAAATCATCGTGCACCGAGCACGCGAGAACTAAAATTCGTGTAGTCTATATCACAATTGAGAACTTGAATTCGTATCTACTTTAGTACCGTGTCCGAAGAAGAATCATCTGTCCTGTAGCACAGATACGACTAACAATGGGCTCCTTTAATTAGAAGCTGCGAAGCATCTGTTGTCGATTATCATAATGTGACGTATTCCAATTTCGAAGTAAGCAGTTTGTTTGGACGTTGCTCCACTGGGAGTACATTAACATCTACATGAATATATATATCGAACTCAGTTTAGTTTATCTGGGTAATAAGAACGGTTTGCGGCCGATTATATTAAAAACTAATAATCCGTATTATTCCTTATGCATTATTCCTTCCTCCACATATTTCTTTGCAGTCGCTGGGGAATACCGACTAATAGGAACGCATTAAACTTGAAATATATTCGGCTATTATACAATCGTATATTTTATTTTCAAACTGAAAAACAGTTAACACAGTTACACAAATTTACATGGCTAACAAACGATGTGTATAAAAGATAATCGTAGCAGAAAACAATTAGTCGTCATATATGACTTTACTATAGTAAATCGCGCGTTATGTCGACTGTTAATCAAAAGCTTGAAACGATATATATTTATGTATATCTCATTACGTCATATTTCACACTTTCGCACCTCAATGTTATGATGCACCGAAATGGATAGCCTGTATCCGTTGTGAATTGATGATATGCTATTTCGATTCGTTATGTAATCTTGTGCAACGATATCGCGAGCTTGCGGGTTACTTTATTTATGCGCAATAGGAACCACTCTCATTCTATACAAATATATTTCTTAATGTGTATTATTAACATATAATATTTACATTTATATGATTCACACAAATTCACGAGTAAAAGGCACATGTTGAAACCACGATAGCTTGACAATAATTTCACTATTTAGCCGCTTTTGCGCCAAGAATGCGTTGCAACTACAATTCGTCTATTGACTTAAACTTTAAAAAATGTTAGGTAAATAAATGCTTTGGCAGGTTATATCTAACGTAACTAATGTTTAATTTAGTTTAATGCAGCATGATATGCGATGTTATTAATTTATACTCGTGTAATTTACTCGTATTGATTAATTTGTCGTCGACATCTTTTCGATATCCTAATATCGTGATACACGCAATTTGCATAAAAAAGATATTCAATCTGAAACGTAAATTCAACACCAAATTTCTAGGTTCCAATTTTCCGATAATCCATTACGCTCACATTTCTCTTCTATCAAAAATATATATTCCTTCCCCCTGATGTTTCGCAATGTAATCATCGATATTATAAATTTCGCTTCGCTGTACATTCTCTTCATCATCTTATTTACAATATTATTACACTCTTACGCCTTAACGTCAACATCTATGTAAATCCACACACAAAATCGTCTTATTGAAAAAATATTTCTATTACTCGGAGTGATATATATTCGATCCCTCAAGTAATAATAAATGAACCAGATCTAAAAAATAAACTAATTTCGAATAATTGGCTTTCTTGCGGTATACATTTGTTTTTACAATTTAGAGTAAATATACATTTACATGAATATTCACGAGTATATGGTGCATTGAATGATATGAGCAAATCGAAGGATCTTTGTCGAGCGATGCTTTGATATTTTTCTTCGTTCAACATCCAACACGCACAATATTAGCTGAACTTTTCTGCAAAACAACGCGAATTGAAAAATCTCAGACTATAGAAGTGTACTCGTTTAAAGTGCATAATTTTCGAAGCGAGTTTTGTTATTGAATCCACCATCCAAAAAAAGCATAAAACATCAATCGTCTACTCTTATATCTACGTGTACTATGCAAACTATGTAAATTATGTGTGTCGTCATGTATCATAATCTATTGATAGACTATCTACACAGATAATTTGTTTTCTTGCCTTGGAGATAAGCATTTAGTTTTTATAATTATTTTCTTGTTACATTATGTTATTCATGTTATAATTAGTATTATCCTTTGTTCTGATATTTAAAATATTAATTTTTTCAGGATAAAACACCGACGGAAAACAATTCTTTCATTTTTTTTTTTACAGAATCTACATAGTTCATGAGCGAAGAAAAGATAATATAAGTTTTCGCATAGACAATATTGGTATGCATATTAAAGCCATATAGACTTAATTGATTTTTTAGTATACGTGGCCTTTATATATAACTATTAAGGTGATCCTAAAGCCGTGATCCTAGCCGGTTTTTTTT